TCGCGTCGCGCCAGGAATCGGCCACCACCGGGCAACGCAGCGCGTCGATATCATAACGGAAGATGCATGGGCGGTAAGTTATAGCGCTGCCCGACTATGTTTTGCGAGAAGAAACTCCGCTTTTATTCACTCTCGCCTTTCTCGTCATATTTCAGTCCCGTCTTCTGCCTCGTGTGTTTTTGTGTGCGCACATGTGTGCATATGTGCGTGCGTTCGTGTACAAGTCTGTTTGGTTGCGTTGGCAGATGTGTGTGTATGCGTGCGTGCATGGGCATTTTCCTTCAACTGTGCAAGTGGGGGAGGGGAATTGTCTACTTTATTTCGCTCGGAAAAATGTGCGACTTTACCTAATGTTACAGTAAGTAATGTTGTGTATGTTACACAGCAGGAAACTTGAGCAACAGATATTTATGCAGAAATGAAATTTAGCCGTGAATAGTTATAAACGTCGCCATTCAGAGAAATAATAAAGAATTGTCATTATCAAAATTCGCGTCCACTTTTCTTGAATCAGTGTTAGACATTTTTGCACCAGGCCTGAGAGAAAAGAAAACATAATGCGTTGATAGTTCCCTTCTTTCGAGCACGACAAGACGTTTAATTTTCCTTGGTTGTCTTGACTCCAAGCCAACCAAGGTTATATTTATTGACTCGCAGATGAGAGAACTTACGATAGCGAACATACGCCGTTAATGAGTTTCTATGAAATTTTCGCAACAAATCCACGACTCTTTCGTGAGGTGTGCTGTTGTGTGTTAACGTGTTAACGTTCGCCACTTGTAGTTCTTTAATACAGCCTGCAAGGTACGTGAAACTTTCTCCTTACCCATTCATTCCATCGGGATCGAACACGCATTTTAGTTCAAATTTATGTCCATAGGCGTGCGAAAACGTCACAAGCTGCTCTATTTTATGACGATGCTTTCAGCATTTATAGAAACGCAAAATTGCAGCAGAGATCAAAACAATCTTTCTTCTTTCATAAACTAAATCGACAAAAAGGACGAAATTTCGTGGTGGCCACGAGAGAGAGACGCGAGCGTTCAGAACTCGTCTGCCACAATCTCGGGTCTTGAAACTTTAAAAAGCCCAATTCGTGCACTGCATGCTAGAGGCGCATACGAGATTCGATGGAAACCTCGCGTGTTGCAGGGCGCAGCGTGTGCGATCGGCGGCGAAGTGTTTTCTCACTCGCGCTGCCGCGGCATGGTGGAAGGAGGAATCGCTCAGAAGCTCGCTGCATATGCTTTAGTATATAGCCTCGCAAGACGCGGCGACTTTGGGATCGCTCGCAGGTCGTGTCGGGGCGAACAGATGCACACGCGAACGAATACGCTGATTCCCGTTTTCGCTAGAAAAGAATCCCCCGTGGGTTTCAGAAATGAGGGAGGGGGAGGGTGTAGCATATCGGCAAACGTATTCCTTTTTTTCTCTCCGCGTTATATGGAAAGAATGACTCGGAGAGGGAGAGAGGTTGAATGCATGACGAGCGTCCGCGATCTCTTTGGGACTAAGGGAGCAGCCGAAGGTGCACAACGGCGATGGGCGGATCTGGGTGCTCCGTTTTGCCTCTTCGTGTCTCCTTCTGTCCTGGACGGCCGCTTGTTCGCGCGTACATATGTATGCATGGCCGCTTGTTATATGGGTGCCCCCGACAATCCGTCAAAACTGTCCCGCTGCGGCGTGTTTTTCGCGTGAGCGTTCGGTTTCCAACTGTCTGCCTATGCTCTCTCTCTTTTGTGGCGCGTATAAAACGGCAGATATATATGCCGGTTTCGAGCGTGCATTGCGGTCCGACCGGACCGCGTCGCACCGGACCCGGGCAGCTTTGTGATAATGCGGTAGCGTGAAGTTCGAGCGGCGTGGAAGAAAGTGCTGGCATTGACGTTGTATGCAAATGATGACTCAGATTTTCGATGTTAGCGGCTCCGTGCGTATGTGCTTTTCTTTTCTTATTGTACGACTACGACAGCGCCGAAACAGGGTGATCTTGTTGCCATACTGAATATCGAGGTCCCCTCCCCTCTAGCAGCCCTCCCTTTCACCTGTTTCTGTGCATTGTATTACATTATTTATAGTTGCTAACTTTAAGTCGTTCTCAGTGCTCATTTTTTTATTGAAAACGACAAATTTTATCGTCGTAATCACTTTCGAAAACTAATATAATTGCATCTGTTGTTCTTCATTCTTGAAAGGGCGACGGAAACGTCTTGCTTGGTTTCTAAACTACAATGGGTGGCTGCTAACTCATCATGTAACACTAACAACAGTTTAAATAATAAAGCACCACTCGATGATAACAAAAAAAACTTCAAAGCAGCTAATAATTCTTTAGTAGATATTCTCTAAATGAAATCGCTGCTTTAATAATAGCGACCCTACTGACATATCTTCTTAGAATGCACTTGTTACCACGCGTCATGAATCTCGTCTCAGTCACTCGCGAACGTGATATTATTCCGCGCATTAATGTTTATTGAAGGCGGAAACTTAATTTACAGTTTTTTCACACCTTCCCGAACAAGCGTTAGTGTTGTATTCTACCACGCGTCAAAAAAAAAAAAAAGGGGGGGGGGGCAAATACGGCATGACAGGTCGATAAACAGCATAGACCTGCAGGCACTGCGTGATCTCACGCAGGCGCACTTTGCCAACTCTTCGTTCTGCTTCTATATCTCGCTGAGTAGGATGAAAAAAAAACATAGAAAAGAGAGGCAACCCGGTCGTCCTTCTTCAGGCTCTCAGTTCGGAGGGGCAAAAAGATATAGATGAATCGTGACAGGAACGGGTTATGCTTTTAGAATCTGGGAATAATAGCGAGTGCAGAGATGGACGCTAAAAGCGCGGAGCTAAGTTGTCGCTGAGAGCAGAGTGCGGTGTAACGTAAATGAAAAAAGAACGGTAAAACACAGAAAGGGGAGAGAACGGGAGGAAGTTTAAATTCGTCCGAGCCGGAGCCGAAAGTCAAAGCAGAGAAACGGCTCTGGCGCGAAAGAAGGAAGAATTTCCGTACCCTCTCTTCTTGCTTAATTCTGTCTTTTAGTTTATTTACTTTGCGAAGCGAAGAACGGAGGACATCAGCATCGCCGTACGGCTTTCAAATATGGACGGTGCTGCGGAAATGGTGTGTGCCCGTCGAGCACTCGCTGGGTGCTCCGTTCGAAAAGCCAGGGAAGGGATCCGAAAATTATTACGAGAATCAAGAGCGCGCGGAAGGGATAACAGCACACGTAGAAGCAGAGAAGGAAAGTTAAAGTAATGAAAAATCTAAAAAAAACGAACGCAGTGTGACAAGGCAGACCATGGTGCATGCGAGGAACGAAGAAATTACTCCACTCCACTCCTTTCGATCAGTATTAGCTGAGAGGCTGCGCAGTATATGCATTTTGACTGGAGGAACTCCTCAAGAAACCTAATTTGTGCGGCGAGGAGCGCTTCTCCTTTCCGCTGGAGAGATGCGCTCGGAAGCCCCCTTCACGGAGTCCATCGGCTCCCGGAGCGAAGTATTCCTCCCCACCCAACGGACTGCCTGTGCCTGATGTTTCTCCGGGGCTCGTGCATATTCCAACGCTGCGCTAATTCCATCTCTGCCTGGTTTCGGAGGTCTCTACCCACCGTCGCTGGCGCCGTCCGAAAAACGCGCTTTTTTGTTCTCGTTGTTCCTATTACAATCGCTGATGGAACACAAGTGCCTCTTGTACGTGTGTCTGTAAGGAGGAAGAATTTTTCTATCTCTTTTTCCTTTTCTTCTTCCCGTTCCTGAAGACAATATTGTGTTACGCGCTTCCTTGACTCTTGTTTCTCCCGCCAATGGCGCACCTCGCTTCCTGTGTTTTGTCTTAGCGTTTTTCGAGTTTTCGGTACCTTTAACTTCGTTGGTCAAGGTGGGCACATGTGTCACACTGAAACAAATTCATGAGCAGTGCGCGCGTTGGTGCATTTGTTCGTGGTATGTGAGTACAATTGTGTGTGGCTATCTTATATTGCACACGCCTTGTTTTCGCTGCTCTACAAACAGTGCTAAAACTATTCGTCCAACACGTGACTCCATGGTCTTGACTTCCTTTTTACTGCGAAAGCAATTATGTGGGCACTCAAAGCGCAGTTGTAACATCAATTTCGCTGGCGCCGTGAAGATTGTGGTAAAATATAAATTGATAATATCGCCACCCGCATCGTTGTGTGTGCGAGTGAAAGCATGCGAACTCAGCCGAAGACCACCGCTCAAGCGCAGACGAAATGAGCCAGCCGCCTCTGTCGTGCGAAAAATGCGTGGAGCCGTAAGTGAGAGGACGGGGGGGGGGGGGAATTTACTAAGCGTCACGATACCCAAACCTTCGCCCATCGTCATGATTCACTTCTTGGAGATGAAAAAAAACTTTTTAACGAGCGTTAAATAGCTCATTTCGCAGAAATTTCGCCGTCGGCGTCGTTGGTCATGAGCGAAAAATCATAATTTTATGCATGACCGAAAATCTAGAACGATGCAAACGAAACATGTAATTAGAAATCATGGGTTGAATAATAGGTTAGAGTGAGAATAGATCCCGGGGCGTTTGGGTCCAAATGGGAATTGATTGATTGATCGATTTGTGGGGTTTAACGTCCCAAAACCACCATATGATTATGAGAGACGCCGTAGTGGAGGATTCCGGAAATTTCGACCTCCTGGGGTTCTTTAACGTGCACCCAAATCTGAGCACACAGGCCTACAATCCAAATAGGAATTGAACCTGGGTCATTTGCGTGGCAAGCACTAGTTCTACCTCACAGCCACAGATCTGCTTGTGAATGCTGTGAAAATAACGTCCTCTGCTTGGAAATGCAGTGAGAGTAACTGTCATGTTTTACAAACACATGCGTCCGTATACATGCTTCACAATATAAAAGAAAAATGAAATATTGCAGTAATCCAGTGTTTATTTTTTACTATTCATTTCATTTGAATCGTTCTCTTTTTTTTCGGTCACGCTTAAGATTATGATTTTTCCACTGTACAGCCGAGCAAGCGGACAAGCCTCATCACGGCGGGGGTGCCCTGCTGCCCAACGGTTTCAGCCCGCAGCAAGCGGCTGCCGCCGCGGCCGCTGCCCACCTGAACGCCACGCTGCCCTTCCTCGCCCTGGGCTCGCACCCGCACCCTGGCGGTCTGCTGAGTGCCGCCATGGGGATTCCCCTGCCCGGCGCCACGCCGCACCACCCGCTGGGAGGCGCAGCACCCTCGCGCACCGACCACCACCTCGCCAAGGCCGCGCCGCCTCAGCTGGATCCGCAAGCCGCCCTGAGGTAGGCGTGAGAGGCGTTTCTTCTTCGCACGTTTGCAGAGCTCAATGCTTATATTTGTAATATACGTATTATGAGTGTTTCAATTAAGTTAGAACCGTGTAAATGATGTCCCCAATTAGTTTTCATTAAGGTTGTGTCAAAGAGAAAAAAACGAGCCTTTATAACTCCTCATATTTAAAGCCGTGATTGTAGTAGTAGTTTTCGTAGTAGCAGGCGTCACTCAGGTCACGTGACCAGAAAGGGCAATGAATAAAAAAATAGATAAAACTAAACGCTACTGCCGCTGATTATATAAATCATGAAAAGGAATTTCTACAAGAAAATGCAACAAAGTGATGATGGGGATGAGTGTCCGTACAAAGTGCAGGAAAAACAGCTCACATGCTGGCCCAGCAGCCACCAGGTCGCGTGACATCGCTTTGAGTGTTTCAAATCTCGCTGGTGTAGGTAAAATGCCAAGTGATCACGCTATAGCCAGTCACACACACTCGCGCACTTAGAGCCTCACTGCGCGGCGCTTTTTACGGTGTTGAAACCGGCTTTGAAGTTGTTTTTATCTTCTAATTATTAATTTGGAGTCGAACGGTATGTTGTTGCAAGGGGACAGACTAGATAAATCTAGTGTGGTAACAAATGGCACAGTTCCTGAAGAATCCGTAAACAGTGTTGTGTCGACGGCGGCGGCATTTCCGATGGAGGTGGAAATGTTGTATAGGCCCGTAGGCTCAGATTTGGGTGCACGTTAAAGAACACCAGGTGGTAGAAACTTCCGGAGCCCTCCTCTACGACGTCTCTCATAATCATATGCTGGTTTAGCGACGTTAATCCCCACATGTCAATCAGGGTTGTGTCGAGCCAACGTTTCGACCAGTGGATTGGTCTTCCTCTTCCTACCGTTCTACAGTTGCTTAGGTGGCATCGAAAATAACAAACTTGTTGACATTTGACAGTATTGTAGCGCTTGTGACAGAGAGAACAAAATATAAAGCAATAATAGTAATGATAAAAAAGTACGGTTGGTTACGCCATGCCAGAATAGTTTAATTGGGGAATCAAAACACGGGACAAGTAAGCACGAAATGGTACAGGACGTGATGGTCACGAAAACTGCGCAGGCCAGTCGCTCTCAAGAGAGAACACCGTGGTTTACGAGACACATACGCGCTAACGCTACATCTTCTACGAAATGCGAAACAAAAAAAAAAGGAAAATCTCGCTGGATACTGAAGTGTAAGAGATTGGATTCTGATATCCTTGTTCTCGTGACCTCTCGATCTTTCTCGTGAGCGACACTGAGGTTGAATTGGTTTCGTTTCTTCTCAGCTTGTTGGGCCCTGTTTGCGCAGCTGATTGATGAGTGGATGGATAGGAGGAGGGGCCGGGAACCAAGGGCTGAAAAAGCGGGTCGTCAAAAGGCGGACTGTGGTGCGCCGCACTCAATAGGCATACTGACGGGAGCTCCGCCGCGCTGGAACGTGGTCTATAATCAAGACAACACCGCTGCCCTTAAAAAATATGGAAGAGGAGGAGGCGGATGTTAGAGAAAAAGAGAGTTTGAAAGCACTCACTCACTCGTCGAACTTCACTGTTTGTCTGTTGGTGTGCCGATACGTGTGCGTAGTATTTCTTTGTTTGAAGTATGAGTTTTTTTTTTTAAGTTCATGCACCGTTTTCAACCAGCGAAAGCAATCCTCACTGATAACGCTGTGTTTGTGTGAAATGGTACCGGGGTCACGTTGAAGTGGTTAACGTTTTCGGTTGAAGTGACGGGGTGCTGTTCGTAAATTTTAGTGAATTTCGTAAGCATATTCGTTGCGCCTCTGGCGCTTTCAGTGATTATCTATTTGCACCCAAGAACGATTGCGAAGTAGAATAAAGTACGTTCGTGTATATCTGGACCATTTTATTTATTTATTTATTTATTATTTATTTATTTATTTATTTATTTTTTATTTATTTATTTATTTATTTATTTATTTATTTATTTATTTATTTATTTATTTATTTATTTATTTGCCTTGTAGTGCGGTTCGGTGTCGATCGTATCGGAGTGCATAGCACCCCGGTCATCCATTGTTTGAGTTGTTCACTTCGCCGTAAAAGCGTTCTGAGGTCACACGCTACAGAAGTAGACAGGATTAGTGAGTATTTTTTCCCTTTCGATGCCATATATGCAGCTTATACGCTTCACCATATATCTGATGCTGTATTGCTTCAAGGCGTGTTGTGTTCCTTAATAGTGTACATATAGTTAATGGACAGCACTACTTTAAGACTCTCAACACCTGAACATGAGATTGCTATGGAAGTGATGAAGGCGATAACGTGTTCACGCAGGGTAAAGCAGTATATTACTATAATGTCGCTCACTACCAGTTTTCCGACTTTCTCATAATTATGTACAAACGACAGAGTGTCGATTGAGAATATCTTGAGATTGAAGAAACCGTCCTCGTAGCCGCCTGGTGGGCGGTCGCTTAATGGGACCGACAACTGGCCACAACGTGTGACTAGATCTTGGTACAAACGAAGAGCCTGTTAATAGTAGTGACATACCAGCACGCTTTTCGCACTGTGGGAAGGATTTATACTTTTAAATCTTCTTCGAAATTAGTGGAAACCGATATGTAACTGAGCCTAGTGGAATAGCCTTGAAGCTGGATTATGGAGCCCATCACTCCATAGTACGTAGTCACGTAATGTGATGGTGCCGTGTGTGCCATAGTTGGTCCTTAAACTTGGGCTATGTATATTATTGTTTATCTCCGCTTTATTCTGTGCTGCTTACGCGGTAAAATGAGTTATAAAGTGAATAGTGGCGCTTCTGTCGCGGCAGCCAGTGGCCCATGTCGAGCCGCGGAGCTTGTGCTCTGGATGCACTCATGCGCAATAAACCGCACCGCTCTAACACGAACCGCTCTCGTGCTCACTGTATTCAGCATGTGTTGTCACGTGTGTATAGGATTTCACATTTGCCGCAGACAGAAAAAAATCCGATTTAAATCTATCCCAGTGTTTTCCACGTTACCATTCCGTAATTAGACACTGTATGCTGTAAACTTTCCATTGAGCTAATAAAATAGGTACCATGAAAATGTTTTGTCGGTCCATTTAAGGGCACTCTGGACTTAAGGAAACAAGTCACGTGCTTTCGCTTTTATGCATTTTCCTAAGACGACTCGAAGGCATAAGTTAGCCACTTCCCAGTAGATTGTATTGTATCCTCTCTTTTATCTAAAGCTCTCTACACCACACGAGGTTCCGTTATCATAATGGTAAGGATGACGTCACATATTTAGGTTTTCTCTAAAGACGTCATGTGGTGATGTCATCACATAATTTTTAATACAAAAGTGTTTTATGCCGGGGTCCACCACGGTTCCGCTGACGTATTTCCATCACGAATATGACGTTGTATAATACATAATAACAGATTGCAAAGAAAAAACGAGGAGGGAAAGTTCTGTTGAAGAGCACCGAACTATACGACCTCACGTTCCGCAGCGCGCGGTCCTATCCACTAGGCCACAGAGCGTACGTTGTCAAACTTTCTGACGTCAAACCATTTATACACACCCTACACCGTTTGGTGGTCCTCAGAGCTCTGTTACTTCAGCCCATTTTCGTCATCAGGAGCGAGATGGCGTGACGTGCTCGCGTTGGGCGCGCTCTCAAGGTCTTCGTCTCGAGCGTTTCGTTGAGAGCCGCCTCAGCCGAGCGTGGTCTCTCCCGCGCGCGCGCTTATCAGACTCTTGTTTCGAGTGAGCACGAATGTCACCTCGCTCGCTGCCGCGGCTGCGTTTACGAGAGGACCTCGCTGCTCATACACGAAAAAGTAATAATTGTTGCAGTTGCTTGCGCTTGCCCTGTCTATACTTGTGCGTTCGTTTCCTGCATCGTCCCTTCTGTTTGAACAGGGCGCTTTAAGTGTCGAGTTGTGCAGTTGTTAGTCCGGGCTCGCACTGCGTATGCTTATTTCGCGTGCGTTTTTGTTTGAGGTGCGCGCTGCAACTTTCGCGCTGCTTGCCGTTCTTCGCGTGAATTCGCAATTCGTTACTGTAGCATTCATTCCTTCGCCCTTGTGGCGAAATTATGCATAATAAACGCTCAGCTACATATGTGAAGACACGTTTCACTTTTGTGTTATACCGATTCCTAAAAGGAGGGATCAGCCACGTCTTTTCGCTTCCCTTGTGCTGACTCTGACGTTCGCGGTCACTTATCACGTTTTGAGAGGCATTTAAGGTTTTCGCCTTAAAATAAGTAACCCACGTGAAGAAACGCAATTAAATAACAGACGTGCAATTCATCCTCTTGTGATATGCACAGATTCGAAGTGCAGATCTGCACATGCAGCCATTGGGACTGTTTTCCTTTCTCTATTTCTTTTTCATTCGCTGCCTTGACATCACGAGTCACCAAAAAACGTTCAGCGTAATAAAGGGCGTCTAACTTCAAAGCACAAATATCTCGAGCTTGATCTTTCGAACATTTTCTCCCAGTGAAGTCTTCATCGAGTGCGACAAGCAATGGCCATCAATGACGGCCATTGTTTGTCTCGTTGATAACGATATGACGTCTTATTCAGCTACCTAGATCGGCTTCCGATGCGTGTACAACAGAACCGAGAGCAAACAGCAATACGTCGGGCGATCATTGCGGCCGTAGTTTTACGGCACGTGCAATCACAAGACAAGGACGAACGGAAGAGACATTTCATGTCTCCTCCTGTTTCCGTCTAAATGACACTATCAGTATTCGCTACGCGAGAATGTCATTCCAGAAAAAAGGAGCTCGCTGAAAAACACAAGTCTACTCTTTTCCTTATACAAGAAAACAGATTGGGAGCAGTATTGGGAGGAGTCCTGTATGTAATCTGTACACCTGTCATTCTCATAAATGCGTGGCCGCGTCGTTGTCTTCAGAATTGGAAGCAACGAGACATTGCCATTAGGATAAGGGGGCTAAACAAACAAACGCCGGCGAGAGCCGAAGTGAAA